CTCAAACACAAAAGGATTTAAAAAGACTCATGGAACATTCCTGTATCTTTTAGTTCCATTCTCCACGAATATTTAATGTTTCCTTTATATACTGACTACAACCTATATATATGGTACCAAAGACATAAAGATGAAGCATGTAATCTGTAGTTATGAAGTTTATAATCTAGAGAAAAAAATGAAAACATGAAAATAACTATTTTGTGAAAATAAGTGACAAAAGGGGAATATAACAGGATAAAACGCTGAGAAGCCAGTCAGAGGCAGACAAGAGTTAGAAAAAAGATCACCAGAGATAGAGAGAACAGTGGGTCATAAACTGTCAGTTACCTGCCAGTTCTACAAACCCACAACATCACATTAATAGGCTAAACTGTGTTATTTGAAAACCTCACAGTACTAATACATCCAAAATCTGCTCTTTTTAACAGTATTTCTTGTTTTCATCCTAAGTCCCAAATCAGCCATATTTGGCATAAAAAAAGAGAAATACAGGAGTAACACGAGAGTAAATGTGAAGGATGGAAAACTACACAGAAGACTAGCATGACAGTGAGAAAGGGACAAGACTGGGAGCAACTGGTCTATGTTTTATTAAGGGGGAAGAAAACTCTCTCCAAATGAAGGTTTACTGCTGAGCAACGCCCTATAACTTCTCTTCTATCTAATGCTCTGACAACTGGAATTTCTCTGTAATTCAATAAGCTCTTAGGAGTTATCCAGACTTCATCCATCCTGCTGGGCTCATTAATGGAGAATTCTAAATGCTTTCCCCACTAGCTATGAGCACATTTCCTAGTGGGTGGCATAGCAGACTATGGTTCTCTTTCAAAACATGAGCAGCCTAGTTCCATTTCTTCTCACTTCTTTATAGGTGGAAAGTCTGCAACAAAAACAATTTAACAACAAAAAGAATTATCTATAGTTCAGGACTGTAGTTGTCAAAGATCATGTTAGAGGTCACCAGTTTTATGCAGTGTAAAGCTTAGTTTTATATTTATTTTTCTTTACCTTTATTTCGAATTCAAATTCATTTACTTCTGCTGTATCTACCTAATGAGTGCTGAATCAAAAACACATCCATCTTTTCATTCACTCTGGGAAGATATTTTGTGACTCGTTAACTGATGGAGCTAATGAGGACAGGGTCACAGATTCAAACTCCATATTGACCAATTAGCTTTGCTGTGTTTCAGGGTTCCACGGTTAGTCAACAACTTTAACCTTGCCTCACAAAGAAATATGCAGATCATGTGAACCGTGAAGGGAATATAGATGTGTGACCAAAATCATCTACAACTACCAGAAAAATAGAAAATTTAAGAGTAATAATAGTACCTGCTATTTTTGCCTGACGTGTGTATATGTATACATATATTTCTATACATGTTTTTTTAAGTCTCTAATCTTTTCACCCATGTAATGCAGAGTTAATATTATCTTTTATTTTACAAACGATGAGAATATGAGCTCAGAATGATTATATAAGCCAAAGTCACAGTCTGGGAAGTAGCCTGGATTCAAGTCTTGGTTTATATGATTCCAAAGCTTGAGATATTTCAACAATACATTACAGCCACTCATGCACATGCCTGAGTGCCATGGGCCCAGTAACAAAATGTCCCTACCAGGCACTATTCAACACCAAAAGCACAGCATGAGTCAAAGCTGACTCATAGGGAGCCTGCTGTGCGTTTCCAAGATTTTAACAGTTTAGAGGACTAGAAGGCTCACTTTCTCCCTCGGAGCTGCTGGTGGTAAGAGACTGCCAACCATTCGGATCACAGCCCAAAGCATAATCACTACAGCACCAGGGCTCCTGTACAATCATTACTAAAGTCAACATCCATTTCTTGTGCATGCTACAGATGAAGATGAGTCTGCTTTCCAAAAACCCTTAAAGTGAAAAGCAGCCAAAGAACAAGTGTTTAAAGCATAAATGAAAAATAGCACGTTTAAAGCACACAGTTGATTTTCATGGAAGTGACTATTTCTTTTTTTGTTTATTTTTATTTTTATTTTTTTTAAACATTTTATTAAGGGCTCATACAACTGTTATCCCAATCCATACACACATCAATTCTGTAAAGCGCATTTGTACATTGTTTCTCAAAACATTTTCTCTCCATTGAAACCCCCGACATTAGGTCCTCGAAGGTGACTATTTCAATTGCTTTGTATTCAGGTCTGTTGTGAAAGACTAGTTGTCTTGATGTTTCATACACTAAAAGTATGAATGAAACTGGCAAAACATAGCTGGGGGATACCACACGGAAAAAAAGAAACACTTCCACATGTGAATCTGCAGACATCTATCTGGTAGTCAACATGGCATGTGAAGGAATGAAAAATATACAATTTCATTCTTAACCCTGAGATTTTTGCCATAACCAACTCATTCTTCTCTAGTAGGCTTTCCTTATTGGTTTATCTGAGTGTTATTTTTTGCATATTCACACATCAAAGCAACCAGTCACTAAGAGTTTTCACCTTCAAAAATGAGGGTAGCCAAGTCTCCCTGACCCTATTCACCAGGTTGAAATTTTATAACTAAATCCAACTGTCTAACTTTATCTTTATGAAAAGGTGGGGGGAGGGGAGAATGACGAAAATGGTTTCCCTCAGTAAAACCCTATCCTAGTCTGAGTTATAAGTATATTTGTTCTGCTATAAACTGCAATGTGCAGAGAGCTGAATTCTTATGAATGAAGCAGCAATCCAATTTCAACAAACTAAGTACAAAACAGCACTTGGCATCTCCAGGAAAATAAAAACACAGCACATCCCAATCCAACCTTTACACAGCAGCATTCGGGGAAGGTCTAAAAGTGACAAATAGTGTAATATAATCTTTCTATAAAATGTAATTGCTTGAAGAAAAAAAAACCTGCAATCTGAGAACTTCTAAATTATTAGACAACCATTCAAGCTATATATAAAGTATGTGGGCTAAGGATAAGTATCCTCACTTTACAAACAAGTGCAATTTCAGGAATAGACTTATCTAAAATTATCATTAGAACCATCATCTTAGTCATTAATAATAGCAGCAACAATAATGATGCTTTACTAGCACCAACCACTACTAAACACTTTATATTCACATTTAATCCTTATAGACAACTTGTGAGGTAAATGCTAATGGATCAATTTTAGCGATTAATAAACAGGCTCAGAGGTCAACCAACCTGCTCCAAAGCACACAGTGAGTAAGTTCTAACACCCGAATTTGAACTCGGACTTGTTAGGGATAGCTATTGAAATAGTCAATTCTGACTTGATTGTGATGAGTTGTATGAGCCCCCAATAAAATGATTTTTAGAAACAACAAAAGTCACTGCCGTGAAAATCAGACTTTGTGCACTCAACTAACATACTGTACCACCTTCCCCTTTGAGTTTTCTGAACCACATTTAAGTGTTTTCAACCGTGATTTCAGAATAAATATAAGCACAGATTATCATAAAAATCGCAAAATCCCAATTCTCTCTCACGGGAAATAAGACACTGCGCTAATTGCTTAACATTCTCCAAGTTCACATACCAGAAAAAGGCACCAGATTAGATATTGGCTATTTATATTCCAATATAGCCCCAATGTTAATACTCATAAACGGCTGCCAGAATTGTTAGAACTGGCGCTAGAACAAGAGTCGTAACTGAATGGGGGTAGAAAAAATAGCCAGGAACTGCTAATAACAGGTATTTGCTCCCACCACATTTAGGAGTCTTTAAGTGGTTTCTGAGATATGAAGGCGCCCTGGTGATGTGGTTGGTTACACTTTGGGGTAACAGCAAGGTCAACAGTTCGAAACCACCCGGCGCTCCACGGGAGACAGGCGAGGCTTTCAATTCCCACCAAGAGTTAGTTTCAGAAAGCCAACGGGGCAGCTCTCCCCTGTCCTATACGGTCTCCGTGTGTGGGGATCCCTTGATGGGAGTAGCATGGACGGCAGTGGTTTGGTCTTGAGATAAGATGAAGGTTCTAACTGCGCAAGGGCAGACGGACCAGCCGTGTGCATTGTGTGGAGGGGAGGGTTACACACTTGGAAGAGGTTGAAACTCCAAGAGAGTTCACATTTTAAAATGGCCTCCACAGGTGGGCTATACTGTCACCTCTTCTCCAAAAACCTGACATGAAAACTTTTGGGAGGGGGGGGTGCTCATTCTATTTCCCCAGACACTTTTTCCGACCTGATTTGTTAACTCGTCGGAGCCACCTAAGGACGGACCGCGATCTTCAAATTCCACGGCCTCAGACTGGCCGGCGGCCGCGACCTGTCCCAGGCTCCCCAAGCTCGGCCAGAGTCCCCCCGACATCGCTGGGAAGCAAGCAGGGCGGGAACCCTAATGCCCGCTTTTCCCGATAAAGAAACTGAGGCTCCAGTTAACGGTCAGTTGAACAGAGACCTCGGGTGGCCGGCCCGCGCCTCCGGCCCCCGGGCTCGGGGGAAAGCTTGCTGGGGTGGGACTTGGCGTGTTCCGAGGGCAGCCCAAGGCACCCAGGAAGTCCACGCTCCCTCTGGGTGGCCACGCCGGGCCCGTAGCCCGGGGACCCGGGGCGGGCTCGCCTGCCAGGCTCGCGTCCCGGAAGGGGCCAGCAGCTCGGCCGTCGTGGGGCGGCCTCTGAGCCCCAAGCCCCCGAATCTCCGAGGGGTCGGTCCCAGTCCTCCCAACTGGTCAAACCCGGGAAAGAAACACCCCTAGCATAGACTATTTGGGATGAGGGCCCAAGTAAGCAAGCTGCTCCAAGGGGAGCAAGGGACTCCAGGTCCCCCTACCCCAAGGGCACAGGGGTCGCAAGGGTCAAAGGGCGGAAGCTTCCCAGTAACCTCCGCCCCAGGCGCCGGCCCGCCCTCCGCGTCCGGTGAGGAAGAAAAAAAAAACAACCAAGGAAGAAACGAAGTCTTGGCCCCAGCTGTCCGGAAAGAAGAAAAGGCGACTAACCAAGCTTGGGGTGCGCAGGGAAGGAAAGAAGGAAACGAGGGGCTGGTCGTTACCGGGGGCGCCGTAGTTCTCAGCTTCCGCCGCCTCAGCGAAACTCTCCCTCTTCCGCTCGCGCCGCGGGAGCTCGCGCCAGGCCCTGGCCCCGCCCACCGACGCCGCGGAGACTTCTGGGGGATGTAGTCTCGCGAGGGCCGGCCCTCGCGGAACGCCGTCCGGGTCACGTGGAGGGAGGAGCTCCTAAAATAGCAAGGGTGTGACGACCTTAGTAAGACATCTGCCCTCCTCCTCGGCTAAAACACGCTCACATTCCTCACCTCCCACTCAATCATCCCACCTCTCCTCCTCACAGTTTCTTGAGAAAGGTAATCTGTATTCGTTGTCTACTACACTCCTCACCTGTCTACTCCCTTCACCTCTACTGTGGCTTCTGCCCCACTCTGCTGACGATGCCCTTGATCAGGCCACCCATGTCCTTGATGCCAAAAGTCATTGAGGGTCTTTTTAGGCTTATCTAAAGTTTTACACCATTTGACACTGCCGGGCACTTTTATTCCCTTTTTGTTCTTACACTTCCTAATCTGGGTAGACTAGAGAAACAAATCCATGGCCACAAGTATAAGAAAGAGTTTTATATACAAGAGCAATTGTACATTAAGAAAACATCCCAACCCAGTCCAGTCCAAGGCCTTAAATCCAATATTAGCCCATATGTCCGATACCAATCTATAAAGTCCTCTTCAGACTCACGGAACACAAGTAATGAAGCCAAATGCAGGACGATCACAAGCCAGTGGGTAGAAAGTCTTTGGGTCCAGTGAGGAAGCATCTCGGTGCTGGCAGAGGTCTCTCTGTGGCTTCTCCGGCTTCCGAGTTGTGGTTGCGTCCATGTGGCTTGCCTTCTGCAACGCCTCCCAGGGAGTAGCAGAGAGAGTCTCCCCACTCCAAGGAGGAAATACCAGATTTCCCAGAATTATCAGGAGAAGGCCATGCCCACACGGACATATCATTGGCTATCGCCAGATTGACAGTTTAGACTCTACCCCTACTCTCAATCCTTATATTGACACCAGATTAGGTGACTACCTCACTGCCTTTTAAACACTGGTGTTCTCCAGAGTTCTTGCATTTTGTGGGGGGAGGGAACTCCAGCACACTTCTCTCCTGGCCTCATTTTTTTCACAGTTCCTATTTCCAATTTACGAAGCCAACGGAAAAGAGGACCCTCGACAAGATGGATTGACACAGTGGCTGTCACAATGGGCTCAAATATGACAATTGTGAGGATGGCGCAGCAACAAGGAGACCTGCCCTCAATCATGCCCGATAGGTGTCTCAAATATGGCACCCTTCCAACTGGTTTATTTCCTCTCTCAGTTCCTCCCTAATCCATGTCTAAATGGTTGTCAAATCTGGTAGATTCTCTCTTGAATCTGTGCCCTATTGTCAACATCCACTGCCAATGATTTAACTCAGATACATATTGTTTCTTACCTAGCTTATTACAACAACTTCCTTACTGGGTTCAACATCTCTGTTCAGTCCCCACTGCTTCCCTCAGGTCAATTAATACAAATAACAATTTTAATCATGTCATGCCTCTGGTAAAATCCTTTAAAAGCTCCACTTTGATTTGAGTTGCAGAGAGAAAAAGAGGTGAATTTCTCAGATAGCTTTTACAAAATGTGTATATTTGCCCCACTACTCTCCCTTCCATCCCATATTGGGATGAATGATTCAGAGAAAGGAGATTTATATTAGATCTTATAGTAGAATAGATGGACATGGACATTTTTAGGAAGTTCTCTAGATGAGCAAATGTATGTATTTATTGCTACTGTCCTAGTTATCTGACGTGGTTTAACCAAAATAATGAATGGATGGCTTTAGCAAATATATTTCCTCACAGTTTAGGAGATTAGAAGTCCAAGTTCAGGACTCTCGCTCTAGGAGAAGGCTTTCTCTCTGTGTCAGCTCTAGAGGAAGATCCTTGTCTCCTTGTACTGTCTATGAGCCTGGTGTACTGTCTATGAGCTACATGTACCTTGGCATCAATCTTCCATTGGGTCTAGGAGATTCTCAGCACTGAAACCCCAGTTGTTCTTTTTGGATGCCTGTAAATACTTCTAATCTCTGCTCCCTTGTATAATCTCTTATGTATCTCAAGAAATTGATGTAACAACCCTGTAGATTGCATCTTGCTTTATTAACATAACAACCACTAATCCTGCCTCATTAACATTATAGAAGTTCGGGGAGGTGTTTTATGACACATAGAATAATTACATTAGATCACAAAATGGAAGATAATTACATAATACTGAGAGTTATGGCCCAGCCATGTTGACACATGTTCCAAGGGGAACACAAATTCAATCCATAACAGTTGGTTAAGATCTCTAAAGCATTGTGCTGGACTTACTGATATATGGTTGTGAGTAAAATAGCACCTGGCCCTGTGGAGTTTATATTAAAAGAAATAGACATTAATCAAATGATACTATATCAAAATGATAATTATATAATTTCTGAGATATACACACACACATACAAGTACCAACTATGATAAAAAACACTTTACAAGAAAAGTAATCAGTTCTCTTTCCCTTCCCTCTGCCACCTGTCCCTGACCATTTAGGATGCTCCAGCCTTTCAAAATCTGTCAAGAGCTAATCTCCTCCAATTTGCTCCCATATACACCTCCATCAAAAACCCACTGGGACCCTACAGGGCAGGAAGAACTACCCCTGTGAGTTTCTCAGACTGCAACTGTTTCCAGGGGTAGAAAGCCCATCTTTTTCCTTCAGAGCTGGGGGTGGTTTCAAACTTTGGACCTTGAAGATTGAAGCCCAATGAGTAGCCACTGCACCACCAGGGCTTCTCCATCTATACAGAGACTTAGTGAGTTATCAGATTGTACCTTACTCTCTCGTGTTTGCACAAACTGTCCCTCTGCTGGGAGCCTAACTAAACCTAACTCACTGCGGCCAAGCACATTCCAGCTCATAGTGATCCTATACGACAGGCTAGAACTGAAAGCCTTCCCTTTTTCCTTTCATTAATTTCTATCTGAGCCCTGGTGGTATAGTGGGTTATGAATTGGGTTGCTAACCACAAGGTCAGCAGTTTGAAACTACCAGTAGCTCCCGTTATTCCCATAACGGGAATAAGTATCAGAAATTCAAAAACAATCAATCAAATTGACATGAAGGAGCACAGACAAAATGGAGACCCAGAACCCACCCGTGAGATAAGTGGACCGTCCCTCACAGAAGGGCCACATGGAAGGATGACCTATCCAAGTGCAGTAGAGCACTGATGAAACACATAAGTATCCTCTAGTTCTTTAATATTTCCTCCCCTTACTATCATGGTCTCAGTTTTACCCCATTAATCTTGTTAGACCTGTGGATGTTCATTTGTATAATTAAGATTGTTCAATGCAGGAAGTAGATAAACCCTTCAGAAATCGAAATGGGAATAATTATTCCCTGAGGGTTCAGGAAGAGAGGGGTTGGTTGTGAGGGAGGGGGGCAGATAGCAATGATGACAGTATAACCCCACTGGAGGGGAATGAATAACAAAGTTGTAGATGAACAGCTACATTGGCTGGTGTAAGATACAGTAAAAATAATAATATATAATATAATCACAAGGGTTCCTGGAGGGTAGGGTGGGGGAGGGAGGAGGTAAAGGGGAGCTGATATCAAAGAGTCCAAGAAGAAAGGAAATGTTTTGAAAATGGTGGTGACAGCAATTGTACAATGATGCTTGAGCTAATTGAATTATGGATTGTTAAAGAATCTGTAAGAGCTCCCAATAAAATGATTACCAAAATATATATATTTACAGTCTCAGAAACTCGCTGGGGGCTGTTCTACTTTGCCCTGCATTTACTGATGGCAGTGAGTTGGGGTTTTTGTTTTTTGTTTAACTTCTACCTGGTTTAATGCTCTGTTTTAGAACACAGAAACAAACCTGGTGGAATGCCAACCATTAAGTGATAACCTTTAGACAAACAGAAGTGGGCTGAGTAGGGGAGCCAGGATCAGTTGAATGTAGGCTGTGGGAGTGAGACTGTGACAACCAATGAAGAGACATAGGGTCTGGACCAGCATACCTTTCCCTCAAAATGCAGATCAGGTACCACCTCCTGCAGGAAGCCCTAGCTGAGCCTCCCTCCTCTCCTGGGTACACACTGCTTTCATGCTAACCTTATTTCCAGGAATATGCTGGAACCCATCTCAGCAGTGAAGAGGCAACTGTTCAGTATTCAGGAATTTCACAAATCTGAATTTAAGCTCTTAGAGCTTAAAATGAACTGTAATGGGAGTACTTATACTACAAATGGCCCTCCCTTTTTTTTTCCTGTTCTTTCTTTCTTCTCTTTTTGAGATGGAGCAGTTTATCAGCATTCTACTTTCCTCTGCCAAGAGCTCTGGTGATGTTGTGAGGCTACACATCAAACTGTTAATCACCAGGTCGATGGTTCGAGCCTGTCAGTCGCTCTTCTGGAAAAAGATGAAGCTGTTTACTCCTATAAAGATGTAAAGTCTCCGAAAACCCAAGGGGGCAGTTCTACTCTGTCCTATAGGGGAGCTGTGAGTTGTAATTGACTCAATGACAGTGAGTTTGCTTTTAGGTTCACTGCCTCTGTCATCCCACTCTCCTCCACATTGCATTGTGATCAGCTCCCCATCAGACAAATTCCTTTTAACAACTCTTGTAGCAAAGATTGATCAATACTTATCACCATGCACCAGGAACTTAAGGGCCTTCCCGTGGGAAACAAACAAGCATGGTTCTGCCTTTCATGAAGTTCACAATCTAGCAGAAAAGACAGAAAAGAAAGACCTCGACGCTTCTCATTGAGCTGACCTACTGTGTGATAGAACCGCCTGCCAATGAATGGTGGCGATAGACTGTTCACTGCATTAGCAAGTGGGTCTGGGAGGGTCTCTGTGAGGCGGGGACCTTTCTACTGAGCCTTGATGAAGAAGAATAAGCCAATCAAAAGAGGAACCAGGCACAGAATATTCCAGCCAAAGAGAACAATCTGCGTGAAGAGATGGCTAAGCTATTTGAGGGCAGAGT